GAATTATTTTGCTCTCATAGTTAATAGTTATTTATCTCGATCTGTTTCGAATTATTTCGAATATTTACGTAAAATTGTATAATTTCTTGCGTAATGTTGCGTAATAATCTTACGTAATATTTCGTAATTGTATATTTCGCAATATTGCAAAAGTTTTTACGTAATATTACGGTTTTCTTACACTTCGTAAATTATTGCGCAATATTACACCCTATTAAATTTGCTAATGTAGCATAGGGTCAACTATTAATATAGCTGGACCAAGTCACGTTTAGACTTGCTGAAGTAATAAAATAAATAAATAAATAAATAAATAAAAATAAGAACCAAGCTATCATGGTTCTAGTTTACCTCTCTTCTGAGTATTAAGCTTAGCCTAATAGTATTATACTTTATTTTTTATAGTAAAACTGTATAATTTGAGCTAATTATCATAATTCAACCTTTGTTTTTTTTGAGCTCATTTGATATTTTAAAGCTATTTACTAGTAGCTTTTTGGTAGTTTTATTACTTCAAAATATTAAAGAGCCTTCTTCAAAATTTATCTTCAACAGTTTAATATTTTGGAATTTTCTTTAGTAGTTTTTTTTAAATATTTAGTAATTTTAGTATTTGCTAATAAATTGGTTTGTAATATTTCTTCTAATTCTTTTGTATTTTATTAATAAATTGTTTTGTAATTGCTTTTTTGTATAGGTTTATACTACTTTTTTTATAAAATTTTATTTTAATTTTTTTTAATATTTGCTAATAAATTATTTTGTAGTACTTTTTAGATTTTTTAATATTTTCTAGTAAATTGTGTTGTAGTATTTTTTTTCTGTTTTTTAGTATTTTGCTAGTAAATTATCTTTAGTATTTCTTATAGTTCTTTGGTGTTTTTTAGTAAATTGTTTTGTAATATTCTTCTAATCTTTAGCATTTTGTTAGTAAATTGTTTTTTAGTTTTTTAGTATTCTTTAGTAAATTGTTTTGTAGCACTTTTTATAATATTTTAGTATTCTTTAGTAAATTAGTTGTAATTCTTTGGCATTTGCTACTAATTATTTTTTAAAAATTTGTTTTATAATATACCAAAAATTCAATTTAACCTAATTTAAGCAAATTTGGGAATAGTTAGGATTAGGGTAAGCTTATAGTTTATATTAAAGTTAGCTTAGAGTTAGGGTTAGAGTTTTTTTATATTATAATCTTATAATACGTATTTCTATATTGCCTAGCTATGCTAAAGAAGATCCCAAATGCAAAATATGAGCAAGCAAATTCAAACTAAATATATATTTTAAATTTTTGTTGTTTAGCTTAATATTTAATTTAGCTTTATCTGTACACTTTATTGGAGTATAGAAATTTTATTTAAACTTCTATTGAGGTTTGTATACATTTTATAATAAAATTTATTTGTACACTTATATGAGTTTTAAAGAAAAAGATTTTATATATACAGTATAGCATATTAGTATTCAGGGTCCTCCTAAAACCTATTAAATTATTGTCTAATTCATTAACCTGAGCTTACTGAGACATGCCATTATTATCGTTATGAGTAAAGGTTAAAAATCAACCTTCCGCTTCAAAGATAGTATAGTTAATTATCTAATAAGCTGTCTGTCAGACAATTATATTGTCAAATGACTGTACTCTATAAAAAAGGGCACTCATTTGCATGTCTCGTATTAGCCCATATGGGGCGCAATTTTTATGATATGTATCACAAAGTTTTTATTTATTCAACTAGTTCAGTATTTTTTTTTTTCTTAAGTACACGAGTGATGAGGTACAATTACTAGTTGTTATGACTTAAAATTTTTAATTATTCAAAAATTCACTAATGACATTGGCAGTTTCAGGTACCATTACAAAAATACTAAAATTTTTTTATTAAAGTTAGAATACTTTTTTTTTTTTTTAACAAAAATTTTTTTGAAATTATATTTACCCGTGTCCCACATTAGGAACTCTATGAAGTTGTGAATTGGGAATATCGCGATTAAGTAATTCAGCATTCTGAATGGGAACTGTTTCATTAGCTTCACCATGAATGATCAAAGTTGGAACTTTAATTTCTTTTAGTCTTGGAGTTAGATCATAATTTTTATTCGCCTCCCACTGACGTTCTACAAACATAGTAAAATTAGATAAAGCTTTTATATTGATAAATTTTAAATAATATATATATATGTATACATACTCAAAATTTCAAATGATCTTTGAGGGTTAGTGTTAACCAAGATCTCCGAAATTTTATCAAGCTTATCAGGATGTTCAAGTAGATATTTAGCCAAATTTTTATCACGATCAGACTTAAGAAGATTGTCTTTTTGTTCTTGAATATTTATAGGAAGATTAAAGCTTGGCAATTTATAAAATTGTTCAACTTCCTGAAACACTTTTGTACTGGTGTCAAGATGAGAAGCGCTTCAATAAAAAAGATAAAGTTAATTTATGTGTGGATTATACTGTAAATTAATTAATCAAATAATGTATATACCAAGAACAAACAATTAATTTTTCTAATTTCAAATCAGATTGAAGTTTCAAGGCAATACAAAGAGCAATTCTACCTATAAAATTTTTACATATAAAAGTAAAAATCATAGAATGAATATTAAATATTTAAAATTTTGAATCTTACCACTCATAGCTTCTCCAAGCAAATTAAATCTTTTAATTCCAAGATGTTTAATCAATTCAATTGTATCTTGAGCCATTAAATCGAGCGTGATAGGATCAGCAGAAGAGACAACGGTTGATTCTCCAATTCCACGATTATCAAACACAATTACTAATAAAATGATTTGATTTAAATATTATGTTATTATAATTACTGTATTTTCACGTAGTACGCCTTCCTGCACGCCATTTTGAGTATATGTGCGTTATTTTGAAGTAAAGGCTATCGCTCGATATTTGTGTAATTGGCTAATTTGCATTGTTCAAACGTGCACGTTATTTTGGGACGCACATGGGTATTATTTCGGATGATGAAGTAATGTACATGGATGTTAATACGCGAAAATACGGCAATAACATTATATTACTATGAATTTAGTGCAATAAATCATCTGTAGCATGCAAAATCTATAAATCGTAAAGCATTAAACTGTAAACCTGGTATAATATAATATTATTCGATATGTAGACATAGGTCTGTAATTTTTACGTGCATAATATCAACCAAAATCTAGACCACATATGATAACTATAGGATCATCTGCAAGAGTAGTTTTCTCTACTTAATATCATATATAGAAAAATCAGGATGTTACTTTTGTGGGTGGCTGTACATATAGACGAAATCATGTCTGATTCAAATACAGTAGATATATCTTAGCCATAAACAGTATTAAAGTTTACGACTTTACGATTTTCGATTTCAGCAAATAGTATGAAGAGTGTCATAACGCTATTTCTAGCATCTAAAATAGCACTAGTGATGTTACGACAACCACATAATCAAATTCAACTGGAATTGTTTAATTCGATATGTTTATAAAATAAAAATACGACAAATTTTATAGAATTTAGTTTGGGTTGTTTTTGTGATATCGTTGGTGCTATTTTAGATACTAGAAATAGCTTGACACTCTACATCATAATTATTTTGATTAATGGAGTTGAGTATAATCAATTGGTACATTCAGACGATATAGACGAACCTTGTTGGTTTTTAGCTAATTCTAATGATTAAAAATAGTTCAAATTAATCACATATATGATATATTATGTATTTAAATAACAGTTTTAATAATGACAATAAATGCCTAACCTTCTTCAAAGCCGAAAAAATGTTCTTTAGTACCACCACTTAATTAAGTTACAGATTACGATTAAATCATTACAGAATAAAAAGAAATGCCAAATACAAAATAACATCAAATGGCAATATTCACAGTCCAATGATTAATACAAGAGGAACCTCGTTTTTGGCATTCTCAGATTTGAAAATTTGGTATGCAATTTTTGACCCATCATGTTGTTCGAAGAAACGAGTTTCAGGCATAGTGTAAAGTGGCAGTTCGAATATTTAGGTCTTAAGAGGATTTTATTAAATTTATTATTAATCGAATGGTAAACTTTACATGATTTAAACTCGAGTATTTATATATAAAACTTATTTATCGATAAAGGGGAACTATATGAATAATCAAAACGAGTCCGACGAAGTTGATCCAACTACCATATTTGCGCTGGCCCGAATTAAGCTTAATTTAGACCGAAATTCAAAATCACACACCGCGCATATTACGCGCAAATACGGTAAATCGAGAAGAGCAATAATCCACTATTCTAAGATCATGCCTTCGCGCGGGATGTTACTTTAAATTAAATAGTGATATTCAGGAGTTGTAACTAATTTAGTACGAGTGTGCATTCATTCAAGATCTGTTAGTATGAATGTAAATGTGTAAATGTATATCCAAATTTATGTATTAAGGCAGCCCTAGAAGACCTTAATAAAGGAAGATGAAAACAAGATCTCGAAGCCCTTCATTAACACTCTTCACAAACTGAGCATATATTTATCACCCCTTGCTAAACTGGGTATATATGCGTGTTGCTTTCCCAACCCAGGATCCTTAAGCTTCATTACGTTGATCGATCGTGATAATTGTTTAACTAAATTACGCTCATAAGCAGAAGTTGCTCTGATTGGCTAGCGTAAAATAAATTGCACGTGTAATTTGTTTATATACTTTAAAGTACAGTACTTTTGAGAACATAATATTACACAAGCAAAAAATCATCACACTATTTTTAATTTCAAGAGTGCTAGCCAAAATTAATCTAGATTCGAAGAAGTTAGTTTAGACACGACATTCTAAAAGAGATAAGACATAAAATTACACAAGCAAAAAATCGTCACAATTATTTTTAATTTCAAGAGTGCTAGCTAAAATTAATCAGATTCAAAGAAGTTAGTTTAGGCACGACATTCTAAAAGAGGTAAAGAAAAAAGCTTCGTTAACTTTTAACATGCGCCAAAAACAAAATAAATACCTTTCCCTTTTCATATTAAGATTTCAAGTTAGGTTTGTGTAAGAATCTGAATTTATATTTAAGATATTCTTAAGAGTTCCAATCCGGATAAATCCGTCATCCGTTTATCTGTATCTGATTATCTGAATAATTCAAATCGCTCAGATCTGACAAGTATTTGGATGATTATCCGGATATCAATAGTAAATGGATATCCAAATAAATTCAGGCCCGGATATCTGATAGCTATCTGGATAAATGCTTAATGGTAAATTTAAGTCTATTGATAATAGGTTTACTAATTATATAGTTTATTATAGTAGTGAATGCCGCTTTTTCTTACCTGTAAGTAGCTATCTATCTTCTATATGGGTTACGGGCTAACTTCCCAAAATCCATTTTTCTGAAATACCATTTCATCCAAGCAATACACCAACAATCCATTTTATGACAAGACATAATTTTAATGTCTCATTTCATCTAATTGATACCAAATTTTCCCGATAAGTCTAAACATTAAAAAACTATATACTATTATTATATTTAAAATCGAGGAATCATTGGTCGGGAAATTAATCAGATCGAAAAAAAGTATTTAGTGAAAATTTTTATTGACACGTCTTGTCAGAAAATAAAGTTATCGGCGGATCAGTGAAATAGTACTTCGGGAAAGAGGCAGTGTAAAAAATTCGATGAAAGCATGTGGTCATATGAGTGCGCACATACAGTACTTCTCAAACTGAATTTTTTACACTGGAAAGAGGGCATTTGGAAATTGAACAACGTTCTAATATGTTTAAGTAGGTTTACTTAAACCCAAAATGGGTTCGCTTCAAGAATTTTTTTAATTACGTAAGATATCTTCAGCTTCTATTAAGGTTGTAGCTTCTTGAAAGACAATACCACTGGTTATTTTTTTTCGATTTTTCACTGGTGTGGTCCTACTATTCTATAGGGCTATGCATGTCTTCACCTGAAGTCCTTCTCTTCGTTTACGCTGAGTGATGATCGCGTAATAACTAATAATTGCTTAGCTAAATTACGCACATAAGTAAACATTTGATTTGCTATGTAAATCAATTGCCCGACTAACTGATTATTACCAGATTGAAGTCGTTTTATCTATCGACATCAATCGGGTAGTAATCGGCCAGTGTTTGCAATGGATTCAATGGAGCTCAATAGTTACGTGAATAGAACTCAAAAAACTAGTATCCATTGACTCCATTCGCAGCTCCATTGGGCTCCATTAAGCTCCATTGCCAACTCTGGTAATCAGGTAATGATAATCAGTTTATCAGATACCCGGGGTTCGTACCCTATTTGCCATCATTCGATCTTGAAAATTTATATGATTTGAAACCCCATTTTCCCTTGGCGACACTCATATTATGGTTAGAAATTAAAGTATGCAATGATTTTCAAAATAGGTAATTTATGATGATATTGTATGGAGGTGTAAAATGCCTATCTTAAAAAAACTATAGCAAACTATAATTGCTAACCCTAATAATATATAATATTGGATCAGTATGGTAATAGTAAATGGAGAGATAGTTTGTATAACACTATTAAACAGTACGTACGTAGGTTTAGAAAATGTTTTTATTGGTTCAAAATCACCTTTTGATTACGTAGAATAATTAGCTATGAGACGATGCAAAAATTGCAGAAAGTCTACGGATACGTACCGATCATGTGATATTCATTTTATGGACACGTACCAAAATAAATAATTTTTTAAAGTCTTTCTGGTTCTAATAGTGTTAAGATAATTAAAATCTACGTAGTAGAACCAGAGACATGACCTTCCCAAAATTTGGGTAAAATTTTACTTAATACTGTATAAAGATTATATAAAACCCGAATTTCAAAATAGTGACTTGAATCGGTTGCGGCTAACCGACCCGAACCGAATAAATTTCGGGTAACCGGTTGAGGAAATTCTTACAGCTGTTCTCATAAATTCTGGGACAACTGGTAAAAATTTTGCCGAAATTAATTCGGCCGAATTCGATAAGCTTTTGATCTCGGGTACATAAGCTTTTGATTTCGATATACTTTAGACAGTGTTTGCAAAATATGTGGACATGGACATTTATGAACTATGTCCATATTGTCCATATTTTTTCATTGGACATAGGGCACTTAGTCCAAATCAAACACGTAAGCTCCTGTTCCGAAATGTTCCGAATGCAAAGGTCAAATACGATTAAGACTTTGTTAATTGGCTCAGAGAATTGCAACTCAAGTTGAGATTACAAAAAATCAGGACTTTATTCTTTTAGGTAAATTTTTTATATTTTTGTATTGTTATTCTTATTTACAATATCGATATGGCTTATATTTAATAAAAATTTTATAGGATAAAAAGAAAACCAGTATAAATTAAGTGAACTTAAGTGTTTAGCAATTATTCGAACTGGGAAGCCTTCTAAATTTTTTTCGACTATTTGTCAACGAATGGAATAATAAATAAAAGGCTATAAAAATCACAATTCCAGTGATTATTTGTATTTTATATTCATTCTAATAATTTCTATGATACGAAAATTAGTCTTGAAATTCAACTTTTTCGCTATTTATTAGATATATACATATTGTGTAATGGCTTATATTGTAACACCAAAATCAGTGTTTACATTTGAACAGGAGCTTACGTGTTTGATTTGAACAGCATAGGTGAAGATCTCTGTGATTGGTCAAAATTTTAGACTATAATTTATATAGGAATATATAAGGGTATGATAGACATTTGCATAGAATCGTGGTACTGTACAGTACAATGAACTTCTTTGCATAAATACCTCGTTTATATGTTTTATAAGTGTTCGCTAAAGTTAATCCACTAATAGAGTGTTAATCCATTTCAATTCACAACATTTACTTGGCCGTTTGTTGGCTTGATCTTATGCCAATTACTTGGCTTCTATAACATTTTTTTGGCCGCTATAACATTTTTTTTGGCCGCTATAACATTTTTTTTGGCCACTATAACATTTTTTTGGCCATCATATATATTTTTTTGGCCGGCATAACACTTTTTTTTGGCCTTAATATCATATCATTTGGCTTTGTTAGCTTCAGTTTAAATTATCTGACAAATAGGAAGAGCATCAAACCCTGGGCCATGCTGTGTCTGTTTTGCAAATCAGGAAACAATTCGTTACCGAAAAGTTACTACTCTTGCTATGAAAAAGCTTGAAGACAATAGATTTAAACTTACTGAGTCCAATGAATCACAATATCTTTGTCATTCATGTTATAGTAACATGATAGTAAATCCGGTAAATAAAAGAAAGTGGAAGAAGAAAAGGCATATGACCATCAAGCGAATCAAACAAACTGCTGATCAATCCTATAGCATTAGCAATCATAATGTAAATCCGACAACTATAATATTAGACAAATACATGCTAGTTCCTAAAGGTGAATAAAAAATCTCAAAAAGAGATTAATCAACTCAGACAAGACTTAAGTTAAGCCAAAGATGAAATTCAAATTCTGCAAACAAAATTGGTGATGCGAAACCAAGGTATTTTTAATTTATTTTATTTATAATATATTAAGTTAATAAATATATAGTTATTTATATTAAGTTTTAATTAATAAATCCTGAAAAATTTAAGAGTATATTGTGTTATTATGGTAAAGCTCTTACCGATGCTTTGTATGATTATCAGCACAGACAGCACAAAGATGTTTTATATGATCATGATGATTTTATAACCATGTTGAACAATTATAATCCGAATTTAAAGTCTTTTTTTGATGCAATGGTTGAAATGACTAGTCCTAAAGGAAAGAATTGCGAAGTTAACAAACATAGGATTGTTGGTATTTGTTATGAATTCGCTGGAATGTGTAATAAGTTTGTTAATTTAATGAAGGTAAATATTAAATAAGATTGCTGGTATTTTATTTTTAGCGCTATAATAATTATTATATTTTTATTTTAGGTAGATGCGGGTATTAGTTTAATGACAATAGGGTTGTCAAAACAAGGAATTGATGCATTAGCTATGTTAGGTGTTACTGCATCATATAGAGTTATTGCAGCAAAAAGGTGTAAATTATTAAAAGCACGAGATTCAGATCTCGAAATATATTTTCAAAATCAGGTATTCTATTGTGTATTATTTTTAAATAATGTGTATCAAATATATTTTTTAATAAAATTTTTTAAATTAAAGTTAAGATATACGCATTTTTTGAATGTTGATGATTATCATGACATACATGAAAAACGAATGCCCAATGTTACTTCGCTTCATTCAATAAATCACATGGCTACTATTTGTGTTAATTTATCAAAATATTGCACACCAATTTCATATTATTCGTCATCAGGGTTTAATGTTCATAATCCTGAATTTATTGATGCTTATATTATAAGTTCAAAGCTTCGCACAGAATATATGCAAGCTTTTGGCACAAGTTATACTGATCGAAAAAAAGAGTGGAACAGTATTCAAGAAATAACAAACTTATCTGATGATACATTAATTGATAGTTTAACTATACATATATATGATTCGGATATAGCAGAACGTAAAGAAGAACGAGCGATGAAAGATGTTAAGCTTGTTGATTTAATTCCCTTAGATCTTTATTCTATGAATGATTACTTAAAAGCTATTGATACTTATACCCGATTACAGCCTATTAAACAATATCTTAACTTATTTATTGTACCAGTTCCAGCTGACTTTCCTGGGCAGCTTTATATTCGTTGTGCTATTGTTCACAAATTAATACTTGGAAATCAAACAATAATACCTGATATAATTTTATGATTTATTCCTATGCTTGGACCGTTACATGTATCTTTAAACTCACGTCAAACAACAGTGTCAGTATATCACAAGTTTTTTAGTAAACTTTTTAAATCAATTTGGAAGAATAAAGAACTTGCAGAAAAGCCTAAAGTATGGCGATTCGATTTACTACTTTATCTTGCTTATATGGGATGGCTTTGAATTAAACCAACTATTATAACTCGTATGTATAATTTTAAAGATTTAGAATATCAAACATTTATAGACTTACTTGATAATATTGTTCCAGCAACTATTGACATATATGCTGTGTTGTTTAAAGCTGTAAAATGAAATGAGTATCTTGAAACAATATTTCGGTTGTGGACAATTTTTTGCCGCTTCAAACGAAAAAATTATGATAAACTTCCTTTAGCATTTCTTTCTGATATATTTTTTTGGGATTCAATTAATCATCCAATTCTTACTGCTTTGAAAACTCATTTTCCACTTTTTACTGATTACTATGTTGAAAATTTTCATAGCATTCTTTGACGACAAACATCAGGACAACGATTAGATGCACGTTCTCTTCGTGATAAAGCTTTATTTATTGATCATAATAGACATAAAAATGGATTTCGTGATGCTTTTGTTAAATCTACACATTATCCATATACTCGGCATCAATTAAAGCAACTAGAAGAAATGTCTGCCGAATTTTTATTATCTTTGTTTATTGATATTCGAAATAAACATGGTCAAAGTAATATAACTTCTTCAAAAAAACGCTCTAAATGTTTTTTAGCAGCATTTAATGCAGATGTTGATATCAAATGGTTACCAACTGGGTATCATGTTTTAAAAAAGCCTTCGAAAGACAAATTTTGTGATGCAACGAAATGTAAATTAAGCTTGTCAGAACCAGGCGGGCATGCTTATCATATACGATGTCTTCATTTATTAAATAATTCATGCCCATATTGCTTTAAATTTTATGAAAAAAAAATTCACAAACTAACAAAATCTTATTTAGATCGATTGAAGCTTTGAATTAATGAGAATGAAATAATTGAGCCTGATAACAATGAACTCGAAGATGATAATGAAAATGAATCCGAACATAAAAATAATGATAATGATGATATTGGTCAAATTGAAATAGATAATAATATAAGTAATCGCCTTGATACAGCTTTACGCTTGTTTTAAATATTTATTTATTCTTAAAGTTAAATTAGATACAAATGTATTTTTCATAGTATAATAAAAAAATAAATATGTTTTGCTTTTTTTGCTTACAATCGAAACTAAAATTATAGTAGTATAAATCATAACGATAATCACTAATTTTGGTGACCATTTTTAAAATTTATTAACCAATCATAACGAACTTCACCTATGCTTTCTGACCCGGCAACTTATCGATTCGCTCATCAGAAAATTTTCAGTTGTTCAAGAATTTGAGAACAGCTGTAAACCATATAAAAAATTTTTTTAGAAGTTTATGAAAACCAATTAATTAATTTTGCATGACCTTATCAGCATTTCCATATTTTATTCAAAATAATAATTTATTTTTTGGTTAGTTTTCGATTTCCGATTGATTAAATTTATTTGTTCCATTGGTCGCAATTATAGTTGTTAGACGAAACCTAAGCCCCCAAAAGACGGAACTTCTGACGAAAGACGAAGCCTTAAACTTAAATGACGAAACCTTACGCTCAAAAAGACGAGACCCTCTAAAAAAAAATTAAAAGAAAACAAATAACAATTGTTATTTTCATTGAATTAACATTCATAATTTATTCAAAGATCAGTATCCGAAGTTACATATATGCCAGCAAAAATAAACCAGCTCATTTTTTCTGGACAACGCCAGGGTTGTTATAGACCGGTTGAAATAACCTTGTCAAAAAGCCATAGTACTTATGGAATAACGCAAATAACGAATTAAAAACATACTGGCACAAAATAAATTTGTAAGATCACAAAGTAAGTACCAAGCGACTTCTCACTAGAACTGATACGTAGTGTAATAGTATAATACATTATAGAATACTCATTTTTAACTCCATTTAAAATTCCATTTTGACATAGAATCCAGATAATATCAGTTGCTACTCGAAAGGCGGATCACAAAACCAATATATTAACTCGTTTTAAGTTGAATTTAATGTAAAATGTATCAAGTTACGGGGTGCCTTTTGTGTATTAAATAATGTGAAGCGCTTGTCAAATAGATGTAGACGAATAGCTGCATCTCTTAAAATGGCATAAACAATAAAATTACAAACATTTAACTATTTATATAGGGTTTCAAAGTTAACAGATTTTGGAAATAAATAAGCTTAAAAAATCGAATTTGTTACAAATGAGAATGAAATGGGAATGTCACTTATTAAATTCGGTTATGTATGTTTACGTAATAGCGATAGTTGTTATACGTAGTTTAAATATAAAACAAGTGAGGAACTTAATTGAAAATAAAATTTGTAAATACAGAAATATATATATTTTAGGCCATATAAACTTAATAAATTGGTTCGCATAACCGGCCGGGTTAAATTTTACAAAACTTGAAGAAAAAATTTTAAGTATATTTACTACCCGGGTGAGTTTTTCATAAAAAATTTTATGTTTTTATATATGTTTTATATATATAATTTTTTGAAAATAAAATTAAAAGCCGGGTTGCCGGGCCACTTTTAAAATTTTTATGTTATGAGAACCAATTTATTAAGTTTGTATGGCCTTAAGTAACAATTAGTTAATGAATATTTAAATTCCTTATGTCTTATATTCAAATTAATCGATAAAATATATAAAAGCCTATTGAACTGAAATTTTGTTTTAATTAAGATCATTTTATTCAAAATCCTAATATAATTTAAATTAAAATTTTGATTTTCGGATGTCGAACTTAAATAACGATCAATTGAATCAGGAACTGGAAATTTCGAAATTTCGTAGAGTAAGGCTTAAAAGGTTTTCATTCATCCCCTCAGCTCAAGCCAATTAAATTTGAGAAATTTAGATTATTCATTTTTAATGAAAATTGTAAGTGAAAGGGTGAGAATCAGATTTTGAGTATAATTATTATGCATCAGTCTAAGTGGATTCCAAAATCAATTTTAGCTTCATTATGAATTAATTATTTCGAAAAAATAAATGGGTCTTTAAAAAAATATATATATATCCTATATATTTTTATTTCAAAATTCTGAAAGGCGTATTTGATAATAAAATTAGTTTTTTTATATCTACTATATATCAAGCAATTATGTAGGTAAGTATATACTTTAAAGAACATAAGATTTATAGCGATAGATCATATTTTTTGAAATCTTAATCAGATCACTTTCTTAGGAAAATATAGCTGTAGATTTCCTGCGTAAAGATGATACAAGCTACGAAATTGTACGTACTGTACGTACAGTACCTAACCCATACACAATTAAAAGTTGATACAAGTTTTGCGCATATATTAACATTACACTGCATCTCACTAGGGGTCTGCAAATGCCCGTGCCAGACAATTAATGGCACAGGCGCAAGATGCTTGGCATTTTATGTCATACAAAATCTCTTGGCAAATTTTATGTGCTTAAGGTTCCACATCAATGCATGTGGAATTAATGGCCGCATTTCCGAATCTTGTGTATCACAACTTGGAGATCTTTTTCTGTTGACTTTGAAAATATGTACCAGTTTACTTCGGATGACCATGTATTCGCTGTCAACTTCCAAAACCTGATTTATTACGTAACATACTATTCAGTCGTGCGAAGTGATAGTAATCACGTGATTGAAAAGAGACGTTAAGGTATGTGAAAATCTAACGGCGTGGGAAAATCAAATGTAAGCGAGATATTGACATATGACGCGAGCAATGTAATTAAAATAGATCCACAAATGAAAACAGGTAAGTATAAAACGGAAGGGGCAACGCAGGCCTGATCTAAATTTCGCATAAGACATGGATGCACGTGATTTATCATTTTTTCTTCGGCCTGCTGCAGCAGGCGGGAAACCACCAGCTGTTTCCGCGGCAACTCCAGTGCGACCACGATTGCTATTTTCGCAGATGTTATTGCCGTTCTTGCCAAATCGGCCAATTATTCGCTTCTCAATCATGTGTTCCGCTAACATTCAATAAATAAATCACCTCCAGCCAAATCATCTGCCAGCATAATCCAAAATAAAAACTGTCATGTAACGCAATGCTTTCGATTGCAATTATACATTCTTATATATCTTAATACGTAATAACTGCATAGTAACGACGTAGTAATTACATAATTAATATTAAATTTAATCGTTACTATGTAGTTACTGAACATTAAGAGATTTAAGTTTCTGCATAGTTTTTTTTACGTTTTTTTTAAAATGAACCTGATGCAGATAGACAATAATGCAGCAGGATGTTCAGAATTAATGTTCTGATTTCTGATTTCGAATAAAGTTATCGACTATAAACTCTATTTTTTTTTTTCATGATAATATTTCATAAAAAAATACTACTTATTTTCGAAATAAATAAGATCACTAGTATATATTATATAAATGATTGATTTTTATTATTGAGCTTTTGATAATTTATGCTTTTTTTGAAAATCTTTTTTCGTTAACTAATAGGATTTTGGTTACACAATTCTTATTTTTTGCTTTACTATGGATACACCTTAGTTATTCAATATTATATCAGATGCAACAACCTTTGTTCGAGTTTATTGATTGATATCTAATCATACATTTTCGGATTACAGTTACATTCTTTTTCTTCGTGATAATATGTGTTTAAGTGTTGATAGTATAAATAAAAAATATCTGTACAATATTTGTTACCATGCAAAAATCATGTATTCGATATAAGGTTATATTCTTGCTACTCTAAGTAAATCTATAGATCTTCTATTTTTATTCTGTACGTACTGCATTTTAACAACTGAATTTTACGGTACCTTCCTGTGTTATATATATATATTTTGTGTATCTAATCTCAATAATTTATGCGCCTACAATGAAATACCGAAATGAACATCTGAAAATGAATTTACGGGACAGAAATTACATAAATAATGGATGCAATACAGTGGTTATTAATTGGCGATGGTAAATATTTAATTTAAGCTGATTTGATAACATTAAAGTCAGAGTTTACAGTCTTCCTCCAAAAATAAGTATCCTTTTTGCACATAATGTGGGCCAAAATCGTTATCATGCGGGCCAGTGTAGTTGAATTTCATTGTAATTGGCCAATTTTTAGATCATTCTAATTATTTTAAACTTTTAACTAATCGCCACGAATAAAGAAATTTCCACGTATAAAATAATTATATATATGACGAATTAATACTATAAGAGGTTTTTACCATTAAATCTTGATAACTAAAATTTTATTAAGAAAAAGTCCTAACATACACGAATCAAAAAAAAAAACGAAAAATACAAGAAATAAATGTTTAAACCTATTCTAGAGCGCTAATCCTAACATAACTCAGAAAATGATATTTGATAAATAATCGTTCGCACTGCCGTGAAAATAATACTGTCAGTAAATATTTTATTAGGAAAATACTTGACACTGTAGGAAAATAATATTGTCAGAGAAAGATGATAGAAAAAGTACATCAGGGAAATCTGGTTTTGCGGAAGTGGGGATCAGGAAAATAGATGCTACTTATGATTATGAAAAGCTCAATAACAGGTTTTTCCTCGATAACACTCTAAAATAACATAACGGATCAGAGGCATAGTTTTAATTGTTAAAAATCGAATAAATTAACCAAGCAGATTACAATTTGATGAATGAAATAATATATATATATATGTATGAGTGCTTCCAAGGCAAAACCTGTTAGCAAATATTTGAGATATCAATAAGGCGAGTTTAATCCCGGGAAAATATTATGTATTAAATCTTTGTATACAAATTGTATATAATTATTTAATACGTAATATCACAATTTTCCCAAGATTAAACTATTGATCCTCAATATATATTATTATACTGATTGACTAGAGTTTATAGTCCAGATTTCACACAATCAATTTTGGCAAATTATATGCTAAATAATAGTCTAAATAAGAATATCCACTGTTATCAACTTCATCCACAAGAAAAATTACTATAAAAGCAGTACCATCTGTATTTAAAGGCAGTGAACAATGAAACTACTGCCAAGATGTAAAATATAAGTTATTCAAAAAAAAAGTAAGGAGAAAAATAATACTGCCAATATATATATAGTGTAAAAAACAAATACGTACATAATAAATCCTTCTTATAATTGTCCATTAATTAGTTGCAGTGTCCATTTTAAACTCAGGAGTAATAGCTATAAACTTCCTATAATTCTCCCTATTTTTACCTGGTGGATCTGTATAGAAGTAAAAAATATAAGAGCCTTTATGTACAAAATATTTATCATCTACATGGTAAAACAAATCAGGGCCAATATTATAAACAGAAAATGATTGAGATCTTTCTGGACTAATATTTTTAGGAACTTGAACTATTATTCCAACCTGGTAATTTATTCAATAGAAAAAGAAATTATGTAAATTGTTTATATTATAATGTATATAATGTTTACTGTAATACTAGACAAATACGCACAGAACTATAATTAATATCATTTCGAGAAGCAATACCTAGTTGTGAATCTGTTTCCACATAAAAGTTCTTTTAATCATAAAGTGTATAATATAAATCTATATGATTGTAATTGTAATTATAAGTATATGTCTTAATATAAATTATCGTAAATGGTTGATATACTATTTTTTATTTGCGTCATTATATATATATATATATATATTTAGTTATTAAATACAATAATGTAAGATGATTTTTTTTCCATAAAATTATTAGACCGTTATTATACCATCTCAACGGGATTACGAAAATAATTAGAAAGCGAATGAATAGATATAGTTATATTATGGCTATGCTTTAAGGTATTGCAAAAAAGTTTCATGAATTTAATAAATAAGCTATAATTTTAGTAACCAAATTTCCGTGTATAATGATGTCTATATGATATCTCAAACTTAAAAATATAGAAATTTTTCTACTAACCTGCAATATAATTTGTTGTTCCCACTATAAAATCATTCATAAAAAGAGCAACTCCCACGGTTTGATTCTAATAATTTTATATTGTGATTATTTAAATGATATATTTGTTAAAAAATTCTCTGGACAATAAATATTTTGAAAAACTTTTATTTTTACTTACAGTAAAATTATTTCGGAATATTTGATTATTAATTATAACTGTATCATTTGTCCATCCAAAAGTTCATTTTCGATTACCACAAGCAGTTCCAATTGGATTCATACAAATTCGCTGGCAACTCAGAATACTTTCAATGTTTGAGACGGTGTTCCAAATTGAATTCTCTTGACCAATATTATATAATTTGGTTAATTCACAATATCAAACTTCAGTTTATGAACTTAAATCCGACTCATATTACTCTACCTAAAATTAGAGATCGTACCCGTTATGAAAACCTCTACCCGGGTATTATTAAATTACCCGGGTTATCCAGATAAATTACCCTCTACCTAAAATAAAAGTACTTGATTAGGACTTTATTTCAAGTGTTTCGATGTATAATCATCTATGAATATACGATAATCAATGATTATTCAATTATTATTCAATGAATGATTATTCAACGAATGATTATTCAATCAATGATTATTCAATGAATGATTATTCAATGAATGATTATTCAATGAATGATCATTCAATGATCATTCAATGATTAATATAAGCTTCATTACACAACCAATCAAAGGGCTTAATACGAACTAGAGAATAAAGTTTAAAGCTTGCGAAAACTTTTACTATTGTACTTCTCTTTCGTTAATCTTCTTTTACGTCAAAATAAAAGTTTTATCAGTTCTAAACCGACGTAATCTGTAAAATCAACAACAACGCAAAACTAAAATTGATTGGATTTCACAAACTACACCTAAGATCTAGTCGTCTACTATAACTCTAACTTTAATAATCTCAATCATCATAAAATTCCACTATTAAAACTTTACGTCTGTTAGTCACTTTTAGCAGATTGGTGGGAAATAAAACTTCTAAAAAGAGAGTTCAAATTGTTCGTATCTCAATTATTCCTGGGCTTCAGAGATCATTATAAATTAGCAAATATCTCAGTCATGCAAATAACTCTATCATAAATCATTACTCAAAAAATGAGCTTTTTGTCTTGGAAAAAGTTTCTTGCTAGATTTTCGTCTAAACTGTTAATCCGATCTACTTTGCTTTCTAATTTGCAAAAAGCTCTTTTATTTCAATAGGCTCCGCATATATATTTAAAATAACTGTATATATAGCTTGATCATTATCCGTTTTTCATATTAAATTTGACGGATACCCGACAGATTTCACCATTGAATTTAGCATCCAACAGATAGTCGATATAAGCTCTAATTGTCTGTTTCTTTTTTAGGAAGTAGATGATTGACAAACCCCATTCTTATCAATGAATAAACAGATCATTGGACATTTGTCTAATTAAATTGGTAAAGGTTGACAGACGGATAAAATTATGCGTAAAATTAACACGTACACGTGACTCTCGGTATCTATGCTCTAGTCCTTTAATCGTTATATCAAAAACTCCATAATATCAATATCTCATGATATAACAAATATTATAGTAAGTCATAGCCACGTGTACAATCACAAAAAATAATGATGATTCGGTGGAGGTAATTATGATAATACGTTAAACGAAAGAACAGGGAACTGATATCAATAAGGGATATGATAATTGTAAGGGATTATGTAAAAATTAAGGCGTAGCTAAATTATAAAAACTGCATTAATTATTGTTTTTTTTTAAAAAATATATAACGTATAATTAAATTTAATGTAGTTCCATAGTTCGAAATGACGTTCAGTATTCTTAAAATCTTTAAAATATTGTAGATCTTTTAAACGTTATTCTTGATTTTATTATTAAATCCGTAATGTTGTTCTTAATAGAGATAAATTCAACGGATCTGTTTTCTTAGTTCTAAACTATTTCTTAAAAGGTTTATGTGTTGCAGCACTCGCTGTAACCACCAGTAAAACAAGGTAACGCACCACCGACTGAACGCAAAGATAAGGCTTTTACTAGTATTTTATTTGATCGAAGAGTAATCGAAGACGAAAAGGCAAGTCTTATTTTTATTTTTCTTACGTCCTTTCTATAATTAGAAATTTGACTCTAAATTAATTACATCATAATTTTGTATCATACGATATTTGACTAACTTAATTGCTTTATAAATCACTCATATGGTATTTAATTACATATTTCTTATGCACATTAACTGATGATTACATAATTGCCCACCGACTGATCGTGATTCGATCGATGGTTCTTTCTTTTTTTATGATAATTGAAAGAATGAAATTAGTAAAAATTTTTATACTCTTTTTAGCATCAGTTTAATATTTTCATTTTCTTGAGATAAATCTGTTGATTCGCCATTAATAAGCATAATATTGGTCTGCCCTTCATCATCACCAACCGTACAATTTGATCTATCTATTACATTTGTGGTAGTATAATTAAGTGGAATACGTATATTATTTATATTACTTATATTAGTTTGATTAGGTTGATTAATTTGATTAGTTTGATTACTTCTCGAACTGCCTATCAAGGGATCGAATAAAGATGATGAATTTAAACGATTAGATGACAAAGCTAATGGAGAGGATTGAGAAGAATCTTTTAAAAGAGTAGGTTCAGGGAAAACTAAATGAATATTTTGATTATCATTTTGATTGTCAAGAGTTATATCCTGCTTCGAATCGTCCTTTCCAGAGACAGCAGAAAGGGTATTTGGCATATTTCCGGAGAAAGAATCGATTTGTGATAAAAGTTTAGGCGAAATCAAATAAGAAGAAATTTTTGGTGCTGAAAAAAGTTTAATCAATAACATGTATCTTAACCATTCTAAAAGCGATGGCTGTAAAACTAAATTATTGTTATTAATAACTCTATAATTAGTAGGAATATTTTTGTAGTTATTAATAAAATTGTTATTAATAAAATTGTTATTAATAACATTATTAATAATAATATTGTTATTGGTAATATCTTTTTTAATTATATTGTTATTGGTAATATTATTAATAATATTGTTATTTGTAAAATCATTATTAATATCATCATTGATAATATCTCTTGTAATGACGTCAGTCTTATTACGATTTAGAGAGTTCAATTCAACAAAATCATTTAATTCTCCTATCATGTTGAATTCATCAGTAATGGCTTTGTTGTGAGATCTATGAGGATAGTGTACTTCATAAGTGTTAACATTGGTGATCCACCAATGTAGTTTAACATCCTCGAATGCACGAGTAACAGCAACATCTTGAGAAAACACTAAGGCATTCAATAATCCTAAGGAGCAAAAAATTAGAAAAAATGAAACAAAATAATTAAAGATGATCAAACAATAAAAAAATAACACATATATACCTTGAAGTGATAATCCAATGTCGCAAAGTAATAATAGAATATAAGGGATCTCACTATGAACGTAAGCGAAAGTTTCAACGAAAGAATTAAAAAATTGAACCACCAATGGCACCACAGGATACCACATAACTCTTCTGACAACAGAAGAAATCAAAGCCTTATTAATTAAGGTGGGGTAGTCAGACAAATGAGAAGAATCAAAATTATCGGGTTTTTTTGTCGCGGATTTTAGTTTTCCAATGACCATAATGACAACGATCGTACAATATATAATGGACATAACTACCCAACCGAATAGAGTAATCCATTGCCATATTATATTATATTTTTGGCCCGAATCACGAAACCAACAACTTCTGTAAAAATATCAATAAAAAGATAATGTTAATTTGATATAAATACAAAACAAATATGAAATAAACAAATATTTATGCACAGAGGTATGCACATATATAATAATATATAATATATAGTATACATACTGTTCAGGATCATCATAACCATACATATTATCAGCAATAGGAAGAAGAGAAATTAAAAGGGCCATAAAAAATGAAATTATAAAATAAAATTTCTCAAAATTATAACGAATTCTATATTCGTTTACGAATACTATATGAAGGTTCTATAATAAATTAAAATAAATTTAAAATAAATTTTTTTTAAAAAAAGACAAATGAGATATAAGGAAAAATATAATTATAATACATACCAAAACTATACTAACGATATAGAATAAAGAAGAAAGGCCGAAAAATATGATTGCCCAAGTCTTATACAAATAGATCCAAAGAAATTAAAAAAAAAAGCTAATAGATCTATAAAAAATAGCAATTATTGAATATTGAAAAAGAAAGCTAATAGATATCTTACCGCATAAGCACACGAAAAATTAGAAAGTTCGAGAGTTTTATCCCAAAACAACCCATAAAAAAGGTGACTAGAATAACCTATATCACAGAATAAAGCCGCAAAAGTTAAACGAAATGAAACTCGATCAGCGAGATTAGGGTAGTATTTTCGTATAAAGCAAAATATTACGAATACGGTAGCGGTAGAAATGATAGAAATGACAAGCAAAGGAATGCATATTTTAGCTATAGAGGAGTATTGATCCTTTGGTATTGGAACGATGAAGGCAGCCATTAATCATAGTGTTCTTGTAGAGCAATAGAAAAAAATTCAATTAAGTATCGATTTAATATATATATATCAAATATGCAGATATATGCATTATTAAAAAAAGTAAGAAAAATGGTTTATTTAAAAGGTAAACAAATGATAATTACAAATATACACTAGATTGATCTCAAATAATATTGAGTGTTTGCTTTGATCAGATTTAAACCAATATAATCATGATAATAGATCGGTCTATTCAAAAACAAACAATCCCTTGATCAAATTTATCATTAATATATACTAATATTTCGTCAGTTTTGTCCATTTTTATCCATTTTCTAATTTTCCATATTTGAGGGAATTAAGGTTGGTTTAGTGTTAGGTATGAGCAAGACTTATAGGTAAAATCGTCTCCTGAAATTTCCGTTTTTATAGTCTTGGCGTTTGATGTTTTTAGCTTCGTCGGGCTAGTCCGATTTTTAGAGATTTACAATTTTGACAATTAAGGATATACTATAGGTATACAGTACTAATTAATCAAATCTATGTAAGGTATAGTACAGTATGTAATAAAAACCAGTGGTGCAGATTTTATGCGTAGATCGGCAAAATCGTTAAATTTACTAAATTTACTACGTACGTACGTAGTGAAGACCAGTATTGAAAATTCGGCATAAATGTGCTGTGCAAAAAATTATTTTATACAGAAATGTTATTTTATTTTTTGTGCATACTGCATTAATTTTTGTGCAAAAAAACAATACATGGCACAACACCGGTGAAGACCAGTGTACAAAAAATTGATTCATCTCACGTATCAATTACATCAAACTATTAGTTTAATATAATAAAATATTATATATATTAATGCTTATATTTTTTATCTTAATAAAGCTAATTCATTTTTTAACTTGAACAATACCACAAAAAGGTTTTCCTGATTTAAATAAAAATTTTAAACTGATATAAATTGCTTGAAAAAAATAGTTGGCACTCAATTTTTCGAACACTAATTTTGTCGATCTATGCATAAAATCTACCTACTACGTTGTTTTTATTACATAGATTTGATTTATAATTGTTGCATGTGTGAACCGACATTTTCCTATTGATTCGGGTTAAAGTTTCGTGGAGAGTTTGGAAATGTGAAATTCAGAAGCACGAAAATGCACAAATGCTAGGAAATATGCAAGGATTTGGACATTGCATAATCCCAGAGATTGATTAGATTTAACAATTCGTCATACAAAACTAAAAAAAGGGTATAGAAATTTTTGACGCATGAATATGAAAATATCTTTTGACAATCAATTTCGTACACCCCTATTAAGAACGTACGTACAGTGCGCTAGCATAGCGGGCTTTTATTCTGATTGGATAAGTTTTGCAGATCATTTCGTGATTTTACAAAATCTGATTGGTTAATAGATTATATTAAGAATGAGTCGAAATAAAATATTTTGCAAGATATTAATTAAATAAAAGATACATTTATTTAAATT